CCTGTTGAGTCCGTGCACTGCCTCTCTGTGCCTCAGTTTCTCTCCAGAAAATTGAGCAAATAACAGCCTCGAACCCAGAGAGTTGCCAGGGTCAGAGAAGTCAATACCTGCAAATTGGAAGTGCATGGCCCCCAGAAGACCCTCAGCGGTATTCAACACCACCAGCGCCGTGAATACATCGTTTCCCACAAGGAGAGCGCGTTCCGAGGGCTCGGTGCCTTGTTCGAAGGCTCACGACCATGAGGTGGAGTGAGGCCGGTCTCACTCTGCAGCTCTTTGTCCAGGGAGGCCACAGTGCGCGCTCCTGACTCCGCCCTTCCGCCATCTCCCCTGGGGCCCCGCACCCTCACTTCTCACAGCCACGCGGACGGACGGGCAAGGCTGCCCAGGAGCAAGCGTGCCCACACCCTTGCACACTCGTTCTCAGGAAAGGCGAGCGGCAGACCCAGGAGGTGCGTTTCCACTTCTATGGGCTCATAAAGCAGAGGCCCTCAAAGGGGTCGGGAACATGTTCAGACACCCAGGCAGGCGGTGATCTGTCCTGCGACGCCACGTGTGGACCAGGGAATCCCCAACCTGGTTCTCTGCTGTCATGGAGCGCAGCACCCAAGAGATCCCCAGCTGGGGAGACCCCGAAATACGTGGCTGTCATGGAAATCACCTAGAGATCTTGAAAATACACCCATGTCCTGGCCCCAGCGCGCCTGATGGCATCGAGCCTGGCTGGGGCCTGCGTACAGGGACTTGAATCTCCACAGGTGATCCTAAAGTGTGTCCCAGTCTGAGAACTGGCCTCGGGACATGGCAGGGAAGTGGAGAAATAAAGGGACTTTCTCACCTGAATGACCCCCCCCTCCCCTTGAGCGAAAGATTTACCCGGCATTCTCAAAAAGCTAGGCCCTCAAACACAAGTCCAATTTCAAAACCACATCCCTCGGCCACATGGCCGCTGGTGTCTAATGTCAGATATGATCATCAAAACAAAACAAGGAACACCATCGGCTCATGAAAGAAAGGGCATTTCGACATCACCTTCAAACGTGGTCCTTTTCAAAACAAAAGCTTGCTCTTTTCCATGAATTTTTTTTTTCCTGGATGAAAACCTCCATCCGATTTATTTTCCTCATTGGCTGGAGGCTAGAGAAAAGGTCACGGGAATTATTGTCTAAACCACCTTGAGCCTCCGTTTGGCCCTCTGTCCAGTGGGTAACACGAGTCCTTACCTCACAGAGTCCTCGCACTGCACCGAGGACGGTCAGCCCACCCCGGCCCGCTCGGGACTCTCCGGCTTTTCCCACGGAAAGCCTGCCTCCCAGACGGCCCCGCTGCTGGGCCACGTGGCCACCGTCACGGTATTCTCTGCACGGGCTCGCCATGGGAACCACCTGTGTACTGGCTGCAACCGCAGGTGCAGGGGCCCAAGCTGGCTTTTTGGTAAGAATCACAGGTGCTGGCAGGTTCTTCAGTTGATTCTTACTACCCGGCAACTTTGGGAGACACGGCCTAAAAATATCCATAATGATGAGGCGAATCCTAACCACGGCTAACACTTGCACGGTGCTCACTGTGTGGCAGGCCCGGTCCTCGGCACCTTGCATACATCAATTTGTACAGTTCTCACAACAACTTCTTCAAAGGGGTGCTGTGGGGATCCCCATTTTACAGATTAGGCAATGAGGCCCCGCGAGGGTCACGCACTCCGTACGCAGCCGAGCAGGGATTCCAAACTCGGGGTTCATCTCCGGAGCCCACATCTTCACCCTGCATGCTACGCTGCTCTCTGCCCAGAGCGGTCAGCACTGGGCTCGCCCAAGGCAAGCTCCTCCCACGCGTTGGATGCGGTCATCCTTCTTGTTTTATTCGTTGTACTCTCTTTGGAGCATTAAAAGACTTGCCATGCCATTGCCAACTTTTAATTGCTAAACTTTTAACAGACGCTTTCATTGTGAGGGTTTAATTGCAAAGCCTTTCCTTTGCCCTCCTCCCCAGACATTTCCACCTCACCCTGCAGGCTGACTGTATTCATTTCTGCTGATACTGACATTGGCCAGTAGGTGGCAGTAACCTTTCGTTTTTGTCCCGTGAAAATCCTGCTCTTCACAAAGTTTGAAGGAAGGGCAGAAGGATTTTGCAATGTCCCAAAGACATTCGAATGCCCTCTCTTTCTTTCAGGCCACTTGGCCCTCAAGTCCAGAGAGGCTCCTTAAAATGTGCAATGACAGGACCGTGTAACCTTAGCTCCGTAGGTGACAAAGTCTCTCCTGCCAACACACATCACATTTCTTCCAGCCCAAAGATTTTCGTCACCTCAAACATTTCTATTGAAAGTGGCCTCCAACTTGGACTGAGTTTCAGTGGAATACCAGGAGCTTTAAAAGCATGTAAGCCCACTGGTGCATAATTTTTCATTGGGTAAAAAGCTGGATTTAGATGCAGACATGGTCCAGTGTGTGTATATTTGTGCACGTGGCCTTGGTCAACACATTTAACCTATAACCTCAGTTTTTCCGTCTGTAAAATTAGAAAGTGATCTTGAACAAAGGTTGAGCAAACTCAGTCCAAGTTGGAGGCCACTTTCAATAGAAATGTTTGAAGTGACGAAAATCTTCGGGCTGGAAGAAATGTGATGTGTGTTGACAGGAGAGACTTTGTCACCTACGGAGTTAGGGTTACACGGTCCTGTCATTGCACATTTAAGGTTGATAGCCTTTCTGGAAAGGTCCAGATAGTAAACATCTTAGACTTTGCAGGCCATATGGCCTCTGCTCTAACCGCCCAGCTCTGCCCTTGGAGCATGACACACAAATAAATAGGCATGGCTATCTTCCAACAAAAGCAACATTTGAATTTCATATCATTATCATGAGTTGCAATCTGTGATTCCTCTCCTTTTTTTCCCAAACACTTATAAATGTAAAACCCACGCTCAGCCCCCTGGCTGTACCGAGGCCGGCTGTGGGCTGGCTCTGCCCCACAGCTGTCATCTGCTGACCCTGGCTTGAGGATTCAGCGTTACATTCATTAGTCCCATTCATAGATGAAGTGAGGATGTCTTGTGAGTAGGCTCATCATGAAGTTTACAAATAGAAATAACCAGCAGTCTGTACGTTTTAACACCGCTCAGCTTTATTACATGCTGTGAGAGAAAACATGTAAAACCCCCAGATTCTGTTACCTACCAAATTCCCCCAAGAGAACAGGTGGCGAGCTCTGTGACCCTTTTCCACCCCCCTAATTTCTGATCCCTCAGAGTGTCGGTTACCAGGGCATAAAAACTCACGCCGCAGTCAGGCGAGAGGCCCGTGGGAGCCCTTGGGAATGCACTGGCTGCTTTCAGCCAGAAATCAGAAGTCCTGGCTTTTATTCTAAAAGCCACCAGAGCAGGTGCACCAGCGGCCAGGTGTTTGGAGACGGGGACTACATTGGAGTCACTTACATGTGTGTGATATAGAAAAGCGGGCCTCGGACCCCGTTCGGGAGCCAGCTGGCCTCTGAGTCACATCCTCGCTTGGCCACTTGTTGGATGTGTGTCCTGGGTGCTTTCAGAGACTCGATTCCCTCCTCTCCGAAGGAGGTGATAATACACGGAGCATCCCAGCACCTGGGAGCACAGCCGCCTGCGTTCCTCTGCCATTGTCTCCTGGGCGAGCTTTGGGAAGTAATGGACCCTCCTGCGACTCAGCTTCCTCATACCTGGAACGAGACACGGATGACACCCAGCTCACAGGTGCCATCGGGCCAAGTGAGGAGACCCCGGAAATGCACTTGGAAATGGCGCCTGGAGGGAAAGCACGCGAAATAGTGGTCGGCTGTTACCATGATTATAACACGGCTTAGCAATGATGTGGGCTGGCCTGGCTCAGTGCACACCGGCTGAGAGGTGGTTATCAACGATGCGTCCCTCCAGTCAGCCAGCAGCAGTTGGTGCCTGAGGGATGCAAACGCCAGGCTGAGAACAGGAGCTGGACAGATGGTCCTGCCGCCACGGTGCCTACAATTTACTGGGGAAGGGAGACGGGAGTTAAATATTCTGTGTTCCCCTCCCAGTCCGGGTCAACCGTTACTTGATTCCAGAACCGCCCTCTACCATGGCCCCCTCTTGTTATGTTACCCATTTACTTTTATTTCTAGTATTTTACCCTATGTCTTCAATTTAATAAAAACTTATATATTGCTTATTATGAGCTAGGCGTCATCTAACTGTACACACATTCATTCACTGAATGCCTAGGATTCCTGTGAGGCACAGAGAGGCTAATTAACTCATCTGAGGACACACAGTGATGAGGGGCAAAGGGGGTCAAGCCCAAATTGTCTTGTTCCAGGCTATGTGTTCATGACCATTGCACCATGCTGTCTTGTCATCGGAAATGGCCTGCTTTGTGGATTTCTTATCTGTTTGTTTGTTCACCCACGCCCTCCAAATTGCAGTTCTGTGAGGTCAGGGGGCCTCATCTCATTAATTCACAGCGGCAACCCTAGTGCCTGGCGCAGCGTAAGGTGCAGACTTGGTGCTCAGTATATATTTGTTGAATCAATGAATGAGTAAAAATATAGCCAAATAAATAGTAACTACAAGGAGTCCTGAGTGCTATAAAAAAAGAAATACCAGTGCTATGATAGAATTCAACAGGGGCCCTAATTTAGTTTGAAGATCAGAGAATACTAAAAATTGCAAGTATTATTTTAATTATCTTCATCGTAAAATCTCCTTGGTATAAAAGCTATGACTGAGAGGGAAGAAAATGTTATCTACACCAAATGCACTATTCATGATGATAAATATTTGCCCCAGAAATGAAATGCAATTGAAAATCGGGGCTGCATTTGGCTTTAACTTGATTGAATAATGGTTCACTCCCCAAAGTAAATGTAAGCCATCGTGATAATAAACCATGGGAACTTGTCTGGTCTCTCTGTACCTTAGCGTTGCCAGCAGCAGCTAGACCTCTGTTTGTCTTGAGTTTTAATCTATCTTTTTTTTCCCTATTGCAGAAACGATGGGTAACCACCTGAGTGTTCCACAAAGGGCTGGCGACCAAGAGAACGAGTCAGAAACAGACACTTACAAGGTAGCGTAGTTGCGGTCACCGGGTCGTTAGCTGCTGCTAGGCAGAGTCGGGGATGTCAGACGAATAAACGGCCTGCTCACAGCTTCTTGGTGCCCATGGCCTAGCCCCGGTCTTCCCATGGATTGCCTGGTTGTGTTCCGATCTCCAGGATCCACCGCAGAGCTTGGGGAAAATGCAGGCTCTGGGCCCTGCCTGAGACACACTGAGTCAGAAATTGCCAGACTGGGAGCCTAGGGATCCCATGTCTTTAGGAACCTCCACAGTGATTCCTATGGAGCCAACCTCACACCTGCTGCCAGGTGGGTTTGGCCCAGTGGTTCTCAACTTGGTGACTTTGTCCGTCCCCACTAGGGGACACTCGGCAATGTCTGGAGACATTTCTGGCTGTCGTGGTTCAGGCAGTGGTACTGGCCTAGTGGATAGAGGCCAGGGATGTTGCTAAACATCCTACGATACACAGAATGGCCCCACAACAAAGACTGATCTGGCCCCAAAGGTAAGCGTGCGGAGGATGCGAAACCCAGGCTTAGACCAGCGGCTCACAGCCTGGGCTGCACATTAGAGTCGATGGGAACGGGAGCTGCCCCAGACCAATTACATCAGGACGCGCGTGTGGGAGCGAGGGCAGGCTTGCACGCTGGCAGAGCTGTTCGCCTGTCGCGTGGGCAGCCACGGGCGAGGACTCGTAGTCTAGGAATCCGTCTTTGAGAAGACTGCCTTGGAAGGCTAAGGGGCACCCAAGTGTTTCTCCTTGGGTCTTCTCTGACCAGGTAGGGGGATGCCTAAATTTCCACCAGCCATGTTTCTGGGATGGATTCAGTTTAAGACTTTGGACCCAGTGAACGTGGAATTCCTCTAGGAGGAAGCTAACGTCCTGAACTAATATTGCTCACGTCATAGAGGGAATTCCAGCTCACAGTGGAAGGCTGGATTTGAAGGGATGAGCTGAAAGGGATGAGCTCATGGCAGGTGTCCAACCTGATTGTTACTGGAAGTACCTGGGACGCCTTTCAAACTCCTGACGGACAGCCCCTAAGACCAATGAAAACGCAGCCTCTGGGGGCGGGCCCAGGCCTCAGGAGTTTCTCAGGCACCGCAGCTGATTCCCAGTCCCCGAGCCACTGGCCTCCTGGGCGAGGCAGGAAAGCGGTGTGCGGGGCTCACACGAATGCTGCCGCTCCGGCCACCGCAGGCTATCTAGAGGTCCCCAGACTCTCATTTCCACCTGGGGTTGGAAACCAGTGTTGGTGAAGCCTTCTGCTTTTTAACTATTGGCAATGATTCCAAAATACTTTTAAAAATTCTGTGAGCCAACTAAATCAGCTTTGCAGACCAAGTATGGGCCCAGGAAAGCCAGTTGTAACCTCAGGGCCACATGGTCCTATGGGTTTGACGTTGCGCTTTTGTGTTTCCTTGGTAGAGTTCATGATAAACCCAAGAATACCAGCTTATTTTAAACAATGAAAACCATTAGAAAAATATAAAGAAAGGCAAAGTCTTTCTATCCCCCCAGGAGGTCCCCACCTTTAAAAGGTTGCTATTTGGTCTTTTAGTTTTTATTTTTCTGTGCACTTATTAACATGTATTATACTACCAACAGAATTAGCAAAATAAGATACTATATGCAAAGTACTTCACATAAAATCAATATTCAATTAATGTCAGCTATTACAGGTGTAATTTACAATCAGGAGTATCCAGCCTGTGGCCTGCGGGCCACACACAGCCCGGCTGGCTGTGAATACGGCCCAACACACTATCCGTAAATTTACTTAAATCATTATGAGACCTTTTTGTGATTATGTACCACAATGTATTTAATGTGTGGGCCAGAGACACCAAAAGTTTGGACACCCCTGAAGATGATTTTATGACTTAAATGACATTATATAACATATAGTCTCGTGACTTTTTTCTTTCCACGTGAGTGTATGTGGATGTGTGTCTGTGTGCATGCGCACACACACATATATAAAATCTTTTTTAATATCTGTAATAAATGGCAGAAGAGGAAGGAAATCAGGGCAGCGGCCTACAGTTGGGAAGAGGCCACCCCACGAGCTGCCGGGGGTGGGGCGGAGCAGAAAGCAAGCTGCAGTGAACTTCCTGTGTCTGGCGGGTTGGGTGGCTAGGGGCCTGGCCCGGGCCTGTGGACGTGCGCAGGGAGCGTGGGGTGGGGCGTCCCTCTCGAGGTTCAGACTCAGCGCGCTGAATTGTTGTTCCCCTGACCCGACAGGTGCCCGGTTAACCTGGGCGTTCCATCCGCACGCTGGGGCCCGCCCGCCTGTGCTTGGGGGGCTCCTGAGACGAGGGACAGACAAGGGGGTGTTCTTCGGATCCCAGGAATCCAGTCCCGAGGGCGGGATTGAGTTTCCCTGATAGAACGCTGCGGCGTTTCCGGAAACGGAGCCTCTAAATCAAGTTTAATTTGGGAAGGCACCCCCGTGGCCTTGAGATCTTCGGATTTCCCCAGAAGGCTTGAGTAACACTGGCACGTGTTCCGTTCCAGGAGGCGTCTAGGTGCGGCTGCGCCCACCATGGGATGCCGGTGATGGTGTCGACCTACACTGTTCAGCACTACGACGAAGGTTGGTGTCACTGGGCGCTCCTCTTGGGGATGGGACTGCTGAGCCTGTTCCTGGTGAAATGACAGGGAAGGACCGAAGCCTCGGGCTCACCTTGAAAACACCCGTGTCAGTGTCCTGGGACTGCCCCAACAAAGTGTCACAATCGGGGTGGTTTAAGCCGCAGAAATTGACGGTCTCACAGCGCCAGAGGCCCCAAGTCGGAGATCGAGGTGTGGCAGGGTTGGTGCCTTCTGAGGACGGGGGCGGGAGGATCTGTTCCCTGTCTCTGTTCGCGCTTCGGGTGGCCTCAGGTGTCCCTTGGCTTCTAGAGGGCCTCCTGTGTCCCCTTGCCCACAGCATCTCCCTTCTATACGTCTGTCTCGGAGTCCAAGTTGCCCCTTTTCACAAGGACACAGTTACCCTGGACTGAGGCTCCCCTAATGGACCTCGGCTTTACTTGATCACCTGCTCATGAGGCCGCAGGTACTGGGGCTGGGGCTTCACCTCCTACAGGGAGGCAATTCAGCTCTTAACTACTCTCACCTCTTCTGATACGCGTGGCAGCGGAAGAGGCCGCAGACTCACAGCAGCTAAGACGAAATCAGTGGAGGAAAAGCACTGAGTCAGACAGGCCAGGTTCAATCCCTGCTCTACCACTTACGTGGAAGCGGAGTCCGGCTCCATCTGTGGCTGCCAGGGCTGGGACAGGTGTCCGGGACGCTGGACCAGCAGCTTCCCATCACCCAAGCCTATTAGACCTGCAGATTCAGGGGCCCCAGCCAGACCCCTGAATCAGAAACGCCGGGGGCAGTTCCCAGGAGCCCTCCAGGGATTCGGACACCCCTCGGACCCCTGCCTCTGAGACCCGGCAGGAGGCTCTGTGGGGCTTAGGCACAGCGACCGCCTTCCTGTCTGGAAGAATCCGCGTGGCGCTGGGGGGATCCCTCGGCCAGATAGGAAGATATTTCCATGAAAGCCCGATTTTAGGAGTTTCAGATGACATTTTCCAATTCAAAAACAATCTAAACACCCTGAGGGCCGAACAACAAACTGACCACTCACAGGTCTCACATAGGCCAACCTCTGATGTTGGGTAGTTTTCTTTATCACCTCACATCTCCTAACAAAGGTAGCTTTCTAATCATCGTCACCACCACCGGGCCCTCGCCGCTCAGAGCATTGACCACGGGGACCCCGGAGCCACCTCCAGGTGTGCTGCTGGGTTCGGGGCTCCCTGAGCTTCCCGCCCTCGATGCTCCCGTGTGTCCCCACAGGGAGGGGCCATGTGGGTGGCGGGGCGCCAGTGGCCCATGTCCCCTTTCCAGCTCTACTTTCTCCTCTTAAACCAATAAACTGTCCAAGGGGTTGATTCATGAATTCTTTGTAAAATGAACTCTGAGACGTACGTTGACTCCCAGTGACTTAAAAACTATCCGAGTCCCTGAGTTTGCCGAGCAGGGGGTCGGGCTCTGGAGACGCCCCCGAGGCGGTGCGCCCACTCTGCGATGTGGGCCCGCTGGGCCCCGAGCCCCTCCACGCGGAGCTGCAGGCCCATCACTTACCGAGCCTGGCACGGCCGCGGGGCCGGCCCCAGGCAAAGCGGGAAGTAGGTCAAACGTTCCTCAAATCCCGCTTCTCATTTCTAGACCTCTCCTTTCCTTCGTTCACTCTTTCCATTGTTTGTCTGCTGTTAAGTGGCGTGGGTTGGGGTGGGACGCCGTACGCTCGTAGGCGTAAAGAACAGCAGGGAAAACATTCCCCCTACTCTGACTGCTCCCCTGCCCGTCCCCGAATGTCCTTCCTTAGAGACAGGCACTCTGGACTGTTCCCTGCTTGTGACCAAAGGTATTCCAAGCGTGGGTGTTTTCAAATCCTCTCTTCTCCCTCTAGACGTCATTTTGAAAAAGCACATGGCATAGCTGTGCAGACACTTGGACGTAGTTGTTTCTCTTTTGTATCACTCACTGGCCGTCCCAGAGAGTGCGAACACCTGTCGGGCACTTGGTTGTGTGGACAAATGATCACTGACCGAACCAGGTCCCTGGCGGCCAGAGGTCCGGTGGTTTCCAGTCTTTGGCCACAGTAACACTAGTCCTGCAAACAGAGTGCCTCTGTGTGATGATACTCACAGGGCAACATTCTAGAAGCAGATATTAGAGCTCACAGAGTTTGCAAACTTTTAAATATTGGCGTATATCACTCAATTCCCCTCCCGCTCCCAGCAAAGATACACGTGCGGCTCTCCGTTCCCCTGCCCCACTAAGTCACCAGACCTGGCCCGGTTGACCAGTTTGACAGGTAAGGAGCTGCGTCTCATGATTTTTATTTTGCTGGTGTTTTGCTGGTTATGAGGTCGGCCCTCGTTTCAAACGCTTGAGAGGCGGCCGTGGTTCTCTTTCTCGGAACCGCTTGTTCCTGTCTCCCGCTCACTGTCCCGCCCGCCCGCCCACCCTGCCCCTGCTCATGTTTGTGCAGCTACTTTTTCAGAATTGAGCTGGAATTCATGCACTGAAAAACTCACCCCGGTAAAGTGTACAATCCAGGGCTTGTTAGTGTATTCACAAGGTAGCACAACAATCCCCGTTGTCTCATCCCAGAACATGTTCATCCCCCGAAAAAGAAGCCCCTTAAGCAGTCACTCCCGACCCCCCTCCTCCAGCCCCTGGAAACCTCTAATCTACTTTCCGTCTCAATGGATTTGCCCATTCTGGACATTTCGTGTGAAAACAGAACATATACTACGTGGCCTTTTGTAGCGGGCTCCTTTCACTTGGCATCACGTTTTCGAGGTTCACCCACATTGCAGCAGGTCATAGTGGGATTTCTTTTTTATGGCTAAATAATACTTCATTGCATGGATATGCTGCATTCTGTTTATCCACTCATCAGCTGATGGGCATTTGGGTTGTTCCCATTTGGGGACTATGATGGATAATGCAGCTGGAACACTTACGTACAAGTTTTTACATGGATGTATGTCTTCAATCTCTTGGCTATGTACCTAGGCACGGACATACTGGATCCTAAAGTAAGTCCATGTTTAACACTTTTGGGGAATTGCTAGACTGCTTTCCGAAGTAACAGCACCATATTGCCTTCCCACCAACAACATATGAGTGTTCCCATGTCTCCACGTCGTCACCGACACCAGTTGTCACCTGCCTTTTGGATCGGGGCCTTCCTGGTGGGTATGGAGTGGTACCGTGCTGTGGTTTGATTGTTCTCCCCAGCGACCGATGATGCTGAGCATCCTTTGATGTGCCCGTTGGCCATTGGTGTGTCTACTCTGGGGAGTGTAATGTCTTCTTGATTTGGTTGCTTCCCCATCCCCCTGCCCTGAGCCCCTTGCCTCACACCGTTTTCTGGCCAGCAGTTCTCAGAGCGCCAGAGCTCCAAACTAATAATCATCGCTCTTTAGCAGTGGTCCACGTGGCACATGCATCCGACCTAGCCTCACCCCAGCTCCAAAGCTTACCCTCGGCGTTCTCACGGCTCAGGGCACTCATAGAACGACATATGGCCCTCCCAGTAAAAAGATGTTTAATACTGTGTATCTGATCAGTGTTCTTGCTGCTCTGAGTCCCTGCCACCTTTGGGGGTGAGAGAGAGAGACTCCATCAAATTTTTGCTGGAAATGTGAATCTCTAGAGCCTTTTTTTGAAAAGTAATCTGACAGTATCTGTTTTTTAAAACTGTGTAGCAATTGTACCTGTTTACCTCTATTGTACAGAAATAAAGCACTAATGTAGGATTTTTGAACATCGAAGCTTATCCAGCATGGTTTATCATGGGCATTTTTTTTTTTAAATTTAGAAATGATCAGAATATTTATCGATTAGACAATGGCTTAAATATCTTTTGGTATATCCATATCAAGAAATAATATGAAGTAATTAAAATATAAGGTAGATTTGGATGCAGGGACCAAGAGGGATTACTGTGATTGTCGTATCTCATTCAGGCTGATATAATAAAAATACCGTAAGGCAGGTGGCTTAAACAACAACCATTGATTTCTCACAGCTCTGGAGGCTGGGATGCCCAAGATCAAGGTGCCAGCCTATCTGACGTCTCATAAAGACGCTTCTCCTGATTCACAGTGTCTTTTCACTGTGTCCTCACGTGGTGGAAGGGACCAACTAGCGCTCTGGGGCTCTATTACGAGGCACCGATCCGTTTGATGAGGGCTCCACCCTCATGGCTCAGGCACCAGCTGGGGGCCTCTGTCCTGTAATATTCTCAGTGGGGGCTAAAATGCCACATGTGAATTTTGAGGGAACACAAGCATTCAACCCATAACAACAACATATAAAAGCAATCAAAAGCTGTATCTAACATGATCCAGTTTTTATAAAAAACCAACAAGGATGCAGACAACCTCTGTACGTGTATCCAGAATGCCTGCCAGTGTTTCTATGACCGTGAACTGTTTGATAAGCAACGCTGGGTTGGCAGTATTACTTCTACTGCTGTGAGAGTGAAGGTTAGAGACCGAGAAAGAAAAGGTTGAGAGATTAACCATCTTGGGTAGTAAACACATGTTAAATGTGTATTACCAACATGCAGGGGAAAGAAACAAAATCAAACATCTAATGTGAGTGGCAATATTTGCCTGTGTTGGAGCAAAGGCTGGATTTGCATTTGAATAATCTTTGTTTGTGCCAGATTTCTGTAGCATATGAATGATTAGAAATGTGTGAGTAAGGAGGAGAGTGGAAGCGGAGCATGTCACTGGCACAGTTCTGCCCACAGTGACCAACAATCACCAATGACCTCAGAGGATGCTTTTGCAAGAGCATGGACCAGGCAGCTACCTTTTGCCCACATTACTTTTGCCCAACATTTTCATCACTGAATACTTTGACATGTTCTATCAAGCTCATAGTTAAGGAGTCTTTCCCCATTCCCCCCCAACAAACCCATTCCTTCCTTTTATTTATGTTAGAACTTTTTGGCAAAGAGATCCTATCTTTTTAATATTTAAATGGAAAACATGAAATCTGATCATCCAGTGAAATTTT